CATTTATACACATATTAAACAAGTATTTGTATTTTAATAAAAACCTGTATAGATACTTACAGACATATTCTATTGTCTAGTACCTTTTACATTTTTCCCCTGAAATAAAATATCCCACTGAGAGAAACCATTAATCAAGGAAATCAATAGTTTTGCATATTTGAGTCCATATATCTTCTCAAACATTAAGGAGGATGAATTACTACAATAGTTGAATACAGTCAGTTACAGGTTTAATACATCCCAACAGTTGTTAAGCACTTTCAATTTATAAATGCACCTATGTAAAAATATTTTCATTACTTTGTTCCAAATATTTAGATTACTAGTGAAAGTTTTATCTCTATAATTTGTCAAAAAATAGCTTCGCTCTCCTTGTTTTTGTCATTTGTACAATGTAAAAAATCCATTATTGTTCAGTAATTATTTATATTTCTACTAAAAATATGCTATCATTCTAATATAATAGGTGACCCCCCCCCAAAAAAAAATAAAGAAACAAAATAAGGTAAAGAAGTTAAACTTATATCAGTAAAACAGGTGATGTAGAGCAGTTTGTCTGTTTTTTTTTAAAAAAAAATATTTTCCATACCTTTATCATGGTAGTGAGAACATTGATTTTTGTGTGTGTGTGTCTTCCTTTTGCCAGGGACTCTTTTTTTTTTTTTCTTTTTTGAGCTCAGTATTTTTATTTATTTATTTATTTTTTTTTTTTTTATTATACTTTAAGTTCTAGGGTACATGGGCACAACGTGCAGGTTTGTTACATATGTATACATGTGCCATGTTGGTGTGCTGCACCCATTAACTCGTCATTTACATTAGGTGTATCTCGTATTGCTATCCCTCCCCCCACCCCACAACAGGCCCCAGTGTGTGATGTTCCCCTTCCTGTGTCCATGTGTTCTCATTGTTCAATTCCCACCTATGAGTGAGAACATGTGGCGTTTGTTTTTCTGTTCTTGTGATAGTTTGCAGAGAATGATGGTTTCCAGCTGCATCCATGTCCCTACAAAGGACATGAACTCATCCTTTTTTATGGCTGCATAGTATTCCATAGTGCATATGTACCACATTTTCTTAATCCAGTCTGTCATTGATGGATATTTGGGTTGGTTTCAAGCCTTTGCTATCATGAATAGTGCCGCAATAAACATATGTGTGCATGTGTCTTTATAGCAGCATGATTTATGATCCTTTGGGTATATACCCAGTAATGGGATGGCTGGGTCAAATGGTATTTCTAGTTCTAGATCCTTGAGGAATCGCCACACTGTCTTCCACAATGGTTGAACTAGTTTACAGTCCCACAAGCAGACCTAATAGACATCTGCAGAACTCACCACCCCAAATCAGCAGAATATACATTCTTCTCAGCACCATATCGCAGTTATTCCAAAATTGACCATATAGTTGGAAGTAAAGCACTCCTCGGCAAATGTAAAAGAACAGAAATTATAACAAACTGTCTTTCAGACCATAGTGCAATCAAACTAGAACTCAGGATTAAGAAACAATCAAAACCGCTCAACTATAAGGAAACTGAACAACCTGCTCCTGAATGACTACAGGGTATATTATGAAATGAAGGCAGAAATAAAGATGTTCTTTGAAACCAATGAGAACAAAGATACAACATACCAGAATCTCTGGGACACATTTAAAGCAGTGTGTAGAGGGAAATTTACAGCACTAAATGCCCACAAGAGAAAGCAGGAAAGATCTAAAATTGACACCCTAACATCACAATATAAAGAACTAGAGAAGCAAGAGGAAACACATTCAAAAGCTAGCAGAAAGCAGGAAATAACTAAGATCAGAGCAGAACTGAAGGAGATAGAGATAAAAACCCCTTCAAAAAATCAATGAATCCAGGAGCTGGTTTTTTGAAAAGATCAACAAAATTGATAGACCACTAGCAAGACTAATAAAGAAGAAAAGAGAGAAGAATCAGATAGATGCAATAAAAAATGATAAAGGGGATATCACCACTGACCCCACAGAAATACAAACTACTATGAGAGAATACTATAAACACCTCTACGAATTAAACTAGAGAACCTAGAAGAAATGGATAAATGCCTGGACACTTTTAAAGTTCATTAACATTTATTGTTAAGTTCTGAGCAGGGCTTTGAAGTTTTAAAGATGACTCAAAAAATACCTAGCCTTAAGTTTTTTGCTGACTAGTGGGGGATGCAGACACTTAAGAAATCATTTTGGTAGGATTTTTAAGGTGTTAAGTATTAAAATTACCTTGTTTCTTGCAAATTATTTCCCATTTTAGAAAATGGTAATTCCATCCTTCCAGTTACTCTGGTCATCCTTGACTCCTCTCTTTCATATTCCCACATTCAAACAGTGGGTAAATTCTGATGACTCCACCCCGAATTGCATACAGAATCTGATCACTTCTAAGTAACTTCACGTCTACTCTTCAGCCTAATCCACTGTCATCTATCTAGATTATTAAATAAAATCCAGTCTGTTTTCTCTGCTTCCACACTTGCACCCTTTATTTTTAACATGGCAGCTGTATTGCTATTAAAATACAAATCTGACCATGTCACTTATGAAAAATCTGCCAATTGCTTTACATCTTACTTGAGTAGAAATGAAAGTCCTGAGAGTGGCTGTCAAGTTCCGTCGAGATCTTTTACCCCTCTGAACCTTTCTCCATTCCTCCCCAGCCTCTTTACTAGGCACACTGCTTTTTTGCCTTTCTTTGAACTCAACATGCTCATAGCGCACTTGCCCCTTATTTTCTTGTCTCTATCAGTACTTTACTCAAAAGTTATTTTCTCAGTGAGGCTTTTTTTTTTTTTTGGTATATCCTTATTTAGAACTGCAATCCCCACAACCCCCCATCTCCTGCTTATTCTACTTCCTGATTTTTTCTCTATAGCACTTCCTGCCATGACATGATATCTACTTTATATTTTGTTGTTTGGTTTCCCTGACTTGAAGGTAACCTTCATGAAGGCAATGTCTTTTTGTTGTTGTTGTTTTGTTTTATTTGATTCACTGCCTTTTCCCTACCACTTGGTGCAGTGCTGGACACATAGTAGTTGCTCAATAAGTAACTGCTGAATTAATGACTTTTCTTTCAGAAGTGCTCTCTGAACCTCTAAGGCAAACTGGCATTCTCTCTCTCTCGGTGTCTATAAAAATTATTACAAATATAAAATGTATTTGTTTTCTTTGTTTTCATATCTGGCTGTATGACTGGACTTCAAGTTTAACAACAGGGACAGGGACAGCTACTTACAAAGCTACTTACATGAGCCTCTTCTAAATGCAGGTTGCATGCCCCTAAAGTCAGCCCTGTATATCTTTTCATTTTCATATCCCAATAATTAGCAATGTCACTGGTGAATATATTGTATGTTCTCCATAAATGCTTGTTGACTGAATGCATACATCCTTATCTAGAAGAATTTTAAAATATTCTACTTATATAATACCATCTCAAAATAATCCTGATTTTTGAAGCATAATTAAAAGGGAGAGCCTGAAGCAAGTTACATGTGTTTGTGTAAGTGATATAACCATTTGAAGGGAAAGTCAGAATTAGGTGTTATCTTAGGTTCTAATTCACTGTTTCACTTCTGATCCAGATTAATTTTTAGGGCTTTCCAAATGTTCTATCTCAGATTTTAAAAAAACAAGATTAAGAACAGAAGCATGATTCCGACCTAGTCTATTTTATTTTGCCAAATAAGTAGTTATTATATTCAAGGTATAAAACAGCTTCCTTCAAAACAATATTCCCTAGAATCATAAAGGTGATTGATTCAGTCAGTGGTACATACAATTTTTGAATTAACTCTATTAACTATAAATAGGCAATCTACTATATAGAGACTTTTTGATGTAAAATCAAATGACCTATAATATTTATTTGATTAACAATAGTTTGGTTTTCAATTCCTAAGAGAGAGCTTTTTGCTGTCAGTGTGTTCTTTTTTTTATTTATTTATTTATTTATTTTATTTATTTTTATTTTTTTAATTTTTATTTTGTCAGTGTGTTCTTGTGACATACTTTAGAGAAAACAGAACTTTGACGATGAGTTTTAAACCTCAACAGAATATTTCCCAAAGAATAGAAGGTGTATCTACTTGACATATCTGAACCTAAAGAAGGTTAGATTGAGGAAAATGGTTATTGTATTTCTTTTGTGCCGACATTAAAAACTCCACAAGTCTCTGAAACCTTTGCTGTTCTAAATAGATGGATGAAAAGAGATACGATTGAATTTGTAAATGAGAGTGAGTTTTCTATAGGAGTTGGAGCAATGCAGGATCTTCAGTTAATCTATCTTTTCTTCATGTCCTCAAGGTCAAGACAGCCTTTTGCTATTAAGGACAACAATAATAGTATCTCACATCCGTATAGCACTTTTTACTTTTCAAAGAATTTATTTTTCTCACAGAATCATTGCTAGGAAAATAGGACAGATAGATTATTTTTATATGCTTCAGAGAGTTGTATACACATGCATTGAATAAAATTTCAGGAAAAAGAGAAGATAAATGAGCTAGTAAAGAGTATGGGATTTCAGTATTTAGAATGGATTATTTTTACTACAGTTAAAACTGCACTGTTATTTTAATATTGTGTTATTGCCATAAAAGTATAACCAAGCCTCTAATTTTAGGTTTATTATCCACTTGCAAACATTATCAGGAAAGACAGATAAATGATTTAGTACAGATGTCAGTGTCATGAAGATTTAGTACAGACGTTAGTGTCATAAAAGATTTTTCTTTGAAATGTCCTATAAAATCAGTATTATTTTCTTAAGATCTGCAAATAAAAGGTACATGATATGATTGATTACTTAATTAGTATTTTCTGAACATCATATAGGTATTTTCTCCACAAAAGAAACTCAAAACATAAGGCGATACTTTTGAATTTGGTATGTACGATTATACCCTTTAAATTCCAGTGAACTTCTGAACTGTAGAGTTTAATATTTTGAAAAACAAAATTAAATAATTTCATGAATGTTTTATTATAATCAGTAATTCGGTATTATATAATCAATAATTTGAATAGATCTGTTATTTAATAAAATTCAAAACACTTTTGGAATAAAATAATATAATGTGATTATTTTAAGAATTAACTGGTTGTTTCTTCTGAACAAATTGAAATCCAAAGGTCATGTTTCTGCATGGATTATATTCTTGATGTGTCTGAAGAAACAAACTGTTAATGAGACTTGGAAAACCTGGAAGAAAAGGGAACAAGAAGAGATCAAAATTTAATCAATGATAAGAGTAATTTATAAAGTTAACACTATATAGTCAGCAAAATGCATATTGTAAAGGGAAAAGGGATCAAAACCGGTGAGAAAATTTCAGAATAAGGTACATACAGTTGTGAATAGGAAGTCTGCAAAATGAGTCTTCAAGAATAACCCACCTGTTAGCAAGTTCATGTATACAGGAGAATAAGGAAAAACCTTTAGGTTTTAATTACATTAGCTATCACTGAGCTAGATGCCTTGACAAACTGCTGATGGTTTTCTTGTTGTTGTTGTTGGATACCTTTCTAACTATGTCATTAAATCTACAAAACTGCTTCTTTTTGTTATAGACAATGAAAGGTGGTTTGTAAAGGGTAGAAGATAAAATGCAGTCGGGATATTATCCTCTCCATTTTTGTCTTAAAATATTCCAGCATGAACGCGATAGAGAATAAACATTTAAAAACAATGATATTAATGTGTATAAAGAATGTCTTGGTTTACTACCATTCTGAGACTAAAATTGTTACCAATTGAAGAGATGAAAACTTAGATGGGGGGCTTCATAGATCAATGCAAAGTCAAATGCAAAATCCTTATCCTATCTTTCAAAAAATGCATTATGTATTTGTTTTAGTGCCATAGTCCCCATTATAACACTATATTTGCTCTCACAGTTTCTTTGAATCCATAGGCTGCACTTATTCTTTTTTTTTTTTTTTTTTTTTTTAAATTGAGACAGAGGCTTGCTGTCTCCCAGGCTGGAGTGCAGTGGCTGGATTTCAGCTCACTGCAAGCTCCGCCTCCCGGGTTCACACCATTCTCCTGCCTCAGCCTCCTAAGTAGCTGGGGCTACAGACACCCACCACCATGCCTGGCTAAGTTTTTGTATTTTTAGTAGAGACGGGGTTTCACCGTGTTAGCCAGGATGGTCTGGATCTCCTGACCTCGTGATCTGCCCACCTTGGCCTCCCAAAGTGCTGGGATTACAGGCGTGAGCCACCGCGCCCCGCCGGCTGCACTTATTCTCAATAGTCTTCACTGAGACTGGAGAATAGTGTCTTGTTTCTGAAACCTAATTCTGCAGTTGACTCCTTTAGGTCATGGAATTTGTCTATTTTGTATCTCACTGTATATTCGACATCTACTATAGTACGTGACACACAGTAAATGCCCCCCTCCCTCCAAATACATTGAATTAATGAATATGTGAGTGAATAGTGGATCTTACTAAAGTCAAACATCTGCCTAGATTTCAGAAGTCTGCCAACTTGCAGACTGCCCAACATGATGCTCTTATTGCCAATATATGAACATATATATACATGTAAAGATATCTATACATCTATATATCTATATATGTGTGTGTGTGTGTATATATATAAAGAAAGATAAAAATATAAATAGGTACTAGATATCTCAAAGTAATAAAATCACTACCTCCAGGATGACCACTTACTAATAGGCTCCCCCCACCTGGCTGATTAAGGGATCACCTATACAACTCTTGGATGTAAAAAGCCTCAAAGTCCTGGCTCTATTATATGAACTGATCTGATTAGGTCTCCACCTGATTGCTCTGCAGTTTATTCTGTATAGTTTATACTTAATATTTTTCATTTTTTAACATATGAACAAAAGCTTACCTCTGAAGTTAAAAGTCCAAAGTTAATTCCAATTAAGGTTAACGCATTAACATTATACCATGTACTGATTTTATTTTCACAACCCTAAGGAAAAGAAGTTATTCACATTGACATGGAAATGGAAATGATCTTATATGTAAATCTTTACAAAAAACAAAAGGTAAACAGAGATTAGTAATTTGCCAAAGTCTAAATAGCAAGTCAATATCTAACTGGAGACTGGACTTTTAAGTCCAGAAAGCTTTGTATGGCAGCAGGACATCTCCTTTGCTAATTTTAAAGGTGCTAAGATGTTATCATGTAATTAAAATCAGAATTTTTTTTACATTTTGGAAAGAGATTTTCTCTTCTGCAGACAACTGTAATTCATCAGGATAGAGTAATTTCCCCACTTACCCACTAGAAATTCCCCCAGTGGAGGCCTGAAACCACAGACAGTATCAAACCCTAAATATATTATGTTTTTTCCTATAGAAACATATATATAATAGAGTTTAATTTATAAATTAAACACAAGAGATTAACAACAATAACTAATAATAAAATAGAACAATTATAACAATATGCCAGCATTACTATTCTTACACTTTGGGGTCATCATTAAGTAAATTAAGGGTTCTTTTTTTGTTGTTGTTGTTGTTTTGTTTTTTTTTTTTTTTTTTTTTTGAGGCGGAGTCTCGCTCTGTCGCCCAGGCTGGAGTGCAGTGGCGCGATCTCGGCTCACTGCAAGCTCCGCCTCCCGGGCTCCCGCCATTCTCCTGCCTCAGCCTCCCGAGTAGCTGGGACTACAGGCGCCGCCACCACGCCCGGCTAATTTTTTTTGTATTTTTTTAGTGGAGACGGGGTTTCATTGTGTTAGCCAGGATGGTCTCGATCTCCTGACCTCGTGATCCGCCCGTCTCGGCCTCCCAAAGTGCTGGGATTACAGGCTTGAGCCACCGCGCCCGGCCAAATTAAGGGTTCTTGAACACAGGCACTGTGATACCTCAACTGTCGTTCTGATAATGAAGATGACTACTAAGTGACTAAGGGTGGGTAGCATCCGCAGTGTGAATACACTGGACAAAGGGATGACTCATGTCCCAGGAGGGACAGGGCAGGAAGACACAAGATTTCATCATACTACCTAGAACAGTGTGCAATTTAAAACTTATGATTGTTTATTTCTGGAATTTCCCACTTAATATTTTCAATGGTTGAACTCTCAGAATGTGAAACTGCAGATAGGGGCAACTACTATATATACCACCACCTAAAATGGTTATTTCCCAAAGAGTAGATGCTTTTTTAAAAAAATGTAATGTTCCATTTATTTATGAATTAATTATGCAATTGAAACAATATATCTTAAGATTAGAATAAGCTTAATATGTAAACTTTACAAAGTATTAGCAGTTCTTGGGATAGAAACATCTAGTTATCAATGTCCCACACCTGTAAATCACAGTTGCTCCAGAGAACCCTTTACTCTTGCTTCTGCCACACTTACTTCAACCCGTCATTGCTGGGGTCCACTCCCTTCAGATTTTGCCTATCCTTTCACTCCTGGTGTTATAGCTCCCTTTCCAATCTTATGCACCAAGGCTTTGACAAAAGTGCCTCCTCTTTCTGCAGGACTTCTCAAGGAAGGCTGGGGAGAAAGACTGATGATATCCCAAGTTCCAAGAATACATAAATCATATACTTCCAGGAAGTTTATTTACTTTATGTATTATACACTGGAAATAACACTACAATTTACCTAACTACGTGTTCAACTTAGGGAAGTAGATTAGGAATGTAGCCACCATCAACAACATTACTTTTATATCAAAATTTGCTCAGAATTCTAAATTGACTTGCAAAATAAACAAACAAAATACTATACATACTTGGAGAAGACTAGATTTATCTTTACCTCGAGGTAAGTTGCATTCAATGGCTCATCACAAAACCATTTTCTTAAAGTAGACTTTGTGCAAGAACATGGCACCTGTCCTGAATTTTCTTTGTTCTTATTCTTTATCCAGTCTGTGTAATTATGTTGGCCACAACACTGTAACTAGGAAAAAGCTTGTATGAATTTTACCATAAAATGTTCAAAATGCAGTTAATTATATGAGATTAATATTGAAGTGGTTTTTGTGAAGATAACTCATTAATTTTTCCCCATGAATATGTAATGAATTAAATAAATAAGTATATTTGTGTTTATTTAATTCATTACTTTGTTTCCGCTATTATTGTTGTTAACCATAGCAAAAGATTTCTGCTCACATTAGTGACTTGTGATTGGATAGAATTATTACATCTGAATTTTATCCAGGATAGAAGATATTCTTGATATGCTTACATATAAATGATGCTTAGGCCATAATATAAAACAATCACCTGAGACATATCTTGCTCCTAACTATAGCAGTTCTCTTTGTATTTAAAGCATATGCAGTCATACATGTTTGGTATACCTAAAAGGAGATTCAGGGTAATATCTGCTTTTCTAGGATTAATGTGAGATGTTAACTTTCAATTTTGTATTGTGTGAAAATTACCATAAAGAACCAAAAGAGGATAGTAAAAACAGTCATAAAATGATCCAACTTTTAAGAAATGTCTCATTTGCAGTGCTGATTCTGGAATCCTATCAAGCAGAGTTAGGAGGATATGAAAGAATCAGTTTACATATTTGTCACTTAGGAAATAAGAGAAAGGTGAAGTAATTGCTTTCTAAACTTTTATGGAAAATGATAACATTAGTACTGCCTATGTTTGCAATATATACCAACAATCTTTGCACAATTCCAGGAAATGCTGATAACTAAAATAGTGATTGAGAGTTAGGTTACTGAAAGTTAGCTTAAACAAACAAATCTACGTATATTATCTCAGTTATAGTAATGGCTAGGAACTGACAGCTGGAATTTCACTAATAGTAGTGATATGATATACAGAATTGTTTCCTCATCATTTTCTGACCATAGAAAGGTTCACTCCTCTACTGTAGGTTGTAATGCAGTCTGAAAATACAACACATGTACGGATCATATACATAAGAGAAGACGACGATGAGTAAAAGTATTTGTAATTGCATTTCGATTATCTTAAAAATTTATTTCCATTATCATATGTACTAAAAGTAACTATTTTTTATGTGAGGCATATAATATATCAGTAAAGAGTACAGAATCTAGTGTCAGATTGTGTGGGTTTGAATCTTGGCTCTGCCACTTATTAGATGTGCAATCCTCATTAAATTACTAAATTTCTCAGTTTTTCATCTATAAAATGAGGATAACAGTTCCTATGTTATAGGGTTGGGAGGATTGAATTAGCTAATATATGCAAAGCACTTACAGACAAGTCTGGGACTATGTAAATGTTTGCTATTTTTTTAATTGGGCACTTACTATATTCCAGGTGCTGATCTATTTCTGTAAACCATTTGGCCAACAATACCCTTCTCTTACCCTTCCACTGCACCTATCCGGAAAAAACCTGCACTGTGAAATAATAATCTTAAAAAATTAGCTAAAAAGTATTAGTTGCATTTATGCCCTGGATCCAGGCCTTTCTATATATATTCTATATATTACTTCATTTATTCCTGCCAACCAGAGGTAGGGGTTAGTATGCTCATTTTACGAATGTGCAACTATGAGTTTAAGAGGGTTACTTGTCCAGAACCACAAAGCTACTGCACGGCAATCCTGGTATTCAGACTCAAAGGGTAACCACCATGCTGCCAGCAGAGGCTACTGCTTAGACTTATCTCCCATCAGGTGCAGCAGGATAGACTACCCCAGTTGGCAAAAGACCAGCAACACTTTTCCAGGTGAAACCAAGTTAAAATGCACATCAATTAACACAGGAGTTACAAAAGGCGGATATAACTCAAGATTTGTAAGTGGGGAGAATTGCCCTTTTTGCCCAGTTTGTTTGAAAGAAATACAACAAACTCTTATTCCTCTGCCCCACCCCCTGCACTGACCTATTCTCTCTTCTGTCCCACAGTGATCAACACTGACATCTAATTTTTTAGTTAATTTCATCTTACTGTTTTCTGTAAAGCGTTCAGAATAGTCCACTTGGTTATATCTTCAGGCTTATCTTTAGATCCATACTCAGAAATGACAGAATCAATTTCGTCATGCCATAGTTGCTGAACCTGTAGAAAATTGTATTAAAAATGAAAATTTCATAGAAATGTATCCATAAAAATTTCATAGAAATTGATGGTTCCTCAAGAGTACCATCATGAAGAGATTATTCAATATTACTTTTCTGTTTTCTGTTTATTTCTTTTTAAAATAACTTTTTAACAATTTCAGTGGGTATCAAAGCATATGGCTTTTCAATTTGTAATCTATAGGAAGACTATATTAGGCTCATTTTACAATTAAGGAAGAAGTAATGTGCTATTCTCATGCATATCTAAGGGAAATTTCTTCTCAAACTCTCAGGAAAAACACTGTAAAAGTCTTTTAAATAAGCCAAAAAAGTTTGTTGAGTGTCTTTTGAATGGACACTAGGCTTTTTCTGGCAAACTTCAACATTCCTTGATTCTGTAAAGGTCTGTACTGTACTTTTCTTTTTTTTTTTTTTTTTTTTTTTTTTTTTTTTTTTTTTTTTTTTTGAGACGGAGTCTGGCTCTGTCGCCCGGGCTAGAGTGCAGTGGCCGGATCTCAGCTCACTGCAAGCTCCGCCCCCCGGGTTTACGCCATTCTCCTGCCTCAGCCTCCCGAGTAGCTAGGACTACAGGCGCCCGCCGCCTCGCCCGGCTAGTTTTTTGTATTTTTTAGTAGAGACGGGGTTTCACCGTGTCAGCCAGGATGGTCTCGATCTCCTGACCTCGTGATCCGCCCGTCTCGGCCTCCCAAAGTGCTGGGATTACAGGCTTGAGCCACCGCGCCCGGCCTGTACTGTACTTTTCATGATTTATAATTTGTTTTACAACTTTAGAAGTTGTTGAAAACTATGGTTATGCAAATTATACTTGGTCAGACAAATGTACATTTTTCTCGGTGAAGGTATATTTCATTCCTTCTCTCTCCAAACCTGTTTTGCATCTATTAAGTGATGGCCTATGTAAATGTCCTCTTTGGATTCTCCTTTGAATTAATTTTTATATCGTACTGGTTCCCTCATTAATTAAGATGTCAAATAAAATAATTGACTTCTGAAATCTACTGCATATTTCCACAAAAATTATGATTTTTAAATTTTAAATATTATCCTTTTGTAATACTATCAGGCCTCAGAATACAACACTCCAAAATATAGCACCTTTTTATGCTGAGTATTTTAAGCTCAAGGAAATTGAGAAAACTGCAGAAGCAGGAAGGTCATTTTCTGACCTTCTCCTGCCTTTCTTCCATGAGGCAGGTCATAAAAGAATTCTCACTGGCCGGGTGTGGTGGCTCACACCTGTAATCCCAGCACTTTGGGAGGCTGAGGCGGGCGTATCATGAGGTCAAGAGATCGAGACAATCCTTGCAAACATGGTGAAACCCCGTCTCTACCAAAAATACAAAAACTAGTTGGGCGTGGTGGTGCATGCCTGTAGTCCCAGCTACTCGGGAGGCTGAGGCAGGAGAATCGCTTGAACTCGGGAGGCAGAGGTTGCAGTGAGCTGAGATGCACCACTGCACTCCAGCCTGGGTGACAGAGTGAGACTCCATCTCAAAAAAAAAAAAAAAAAAAAAAGAATTATCTGACCCATTTTCCCTGAAGGTATAGCATAAGATCCTCATTCCAGAGTGGTCCTGTCCTATACGCAGAAGCCAAGAAGCATCTGAACAGACAGGCCTTGCTAAATTTCTCCCAGTTTATTACCATTAGATTATATGCTTTTGTCCTCCAATCACACTTTCACATAACTATCCACAAAAATAGATTTCCTTGGATCTTTGAGTCTTTATTTTTTGGTTAAGTAAATTTGTTATGATTTTCGTTTGTTAGTTTGTCTTTTGTTATAGGGATCTCGGCCAAGAACCTTGTGATGGATGAGGTATATAACTTTTTCTCTCCTACAATACTAACACAAAAATGATCAGATTTGGATGGGGATAAACAAAACTCTGCAATTTCAAAATCAAGGTAATGCAAAGGTAGAACGATTGTTGTAGTAACTTAAGCATTTACAAATTTATATAATTTTTTATAACAAATTACTAATTTGGTCCTCAATAATACCAAAAGGTAGGAAGAAAAGATATTATTATCATTTTATGAATGGGAATACAGACACTCAGAGAATTTAATTATTTACTTTTGTTTACAAGGAGCTGAGACTTTAAATATGATCATTTGAGTACTAGTCTGATGATTTTTACTGAATTATGCTGTCTTTGACAATAAAAACTAAGTAACTGGTGGGAATATCACAATAATTATAAAAGGCATGTAAACTAAAATCTTAGTTACTTATATATCAGTATTTTAATACATTTAAGAAGATTAGAATAATGAAAAGGAGAATTTAAATCTATTTTATACTCTGTTCATTTTTATTTAGAATAAATAAAATATATAGTGCTGTTGGCAGTGTGTGGGGGGTGAAACTTATGGCCTCGTTTTGTTTCTAAAGCATTATTTGGGAGATCCAGAATGCATATAAATGACAACTTCATACATAAGTACTTTCATATGTAACCTATGTGACTAATGTATAAATAAAATTCCTTTATGCTTACTCAATTTGGTAAGCATCTATTAAAGGCCTAGTGTATCTTCCACACTGAGTTAGGTACTGTAAATGACATAAAAGATTTAGAGGCTCTTAAGAACTTAATCCAGTTTGAATGCAGAACACAAATTGATGTAAACAAAGTTGTTAGCTCTGGGGTCAGCTAATGAGTATTTGAGTCTAGGCTCTGTCATTTGGCCATGAAATACTTTAACAAGCATTTCTAATCTCAAATCCTCAGTTTTCTCTTCTATAAAGTAGGACTTATGGTGCATCTCTAGGGGTTGCTATGAGGATTAATAATACAATGGCTATAGTGTTTATCACAGTTTCTGGCACACGGTAGTTATTAATCAGTTCTTATTTCTAATATATAGAGAGATACAGGAGTCTATGCATAACATTGAAGCAAATATGGGTGACTGATAAACTATATTTACATGTTGATAGCTCTTATGTGTCATATTTATGTTCTATCATGAAGTTGAAAAGTTTGAGGATGATAGATTGGGATTTGGTGTTTTGCCAGCAAAACAGCTTTCCAAAACTTAACTGCTGCAGCCAACGTACCTTTAAAACTCCCATACACACACACACACACACACACACACACACACATTTTAGATGTGGAGAAAAGTAATTTTAGGTCTAAATGCCAGGCCATTAACAGTAGGCACTGGATGATGAGCTGTCCAGTAAAGAATGAAGTTGGAGGGCAATGGTGTCATACAGGAAAGATATTTTTTTTGAACTTTGGCCATTACAGAGGAGTATAGATAGATATAAAGAAAATCTAGGAACCATATAAATTAATCAAGAGATTCTTCAAGATTAATTAAGGTGAGGGAAGAGAACTCTTGAGTAGCTACTTTACTACTGAAACTTGACACATTGTCAATTAATGACAACTCTGTAAGGTAGGTAGGTATTAATTATATTTTACAGATAAGGACATAGGCTCAGAGCTGTAAATCAGGTTGTTGATCCCTAATCATATTCATATCTGTATGACTTCAAGTACATATTCATCTTACTATAGGGCAATTAATCTCCCATGATACAAGACAGACCTTGACTGAACTGAAATACTGAAATGTCTTAAAGGATGAAAAGTAACTGTAGGTTGGAACAGGTAAGTTTTGTTGACCAAAAGTTTTTCCAGGCTTATTATATGCTGTTTTGAACTAAATTTGATAAACCTAAATCTTGCTCTAATTAATTTAATCACTCATCACTCTACCTGTGGAAAATACAGGAATTATTCAGTATGTCTTGTTTAAGTGAAATTGCTAAATTTCAAATTAGTTAGAGTCTAAATTTGTTTCTTTGCAAAAATACAATACAGTGATTGGGTCAGTAGTGGTAGCCAGAGTTGGTAGGAGGAGAAGGTAAAAATTGGAACTTCTAAATCTCAGTACCACTTCCTCTTCCTCAATACTGTTTGATATTTAAAGCTACTTTCTAATTATATGCAAATGGAGTTAAAGGCAAGTTCCCCTATCTACCCTTTTCAATCTGACTCCTGGCCCCTTCCTATACTCTAGTACTTTCATTGAATATTATTTTCTCCTAAAGAAATTTACCTTTGGCTTTTAATATAGGATCAATGGTCTCAATACTCTAAGGTATCCAATTTCCTTTAAACTTCAAATAACAGGATGTATTGATAAGGATTTACTTTCCATACCTCCTCTTTCTTTGTGAAGATGAATGCTGAAAGTACAACCTGAACACCAATGACCCATGTTATCAATACTGCATACTAAAACAAAAGAAAAATAGAGATGATGACTATGCTACTAATATATATTTTGTATGCTCAAATAATAGGAAAACACACACCATTGGAAATATGCAACCATAAAGTATATATGGGTATTGCTGAAGCTTCCTGCCTTCACAAATATGAATGAAATTAGGGAAATAGCAAGGCAAAGTAAAAAAACAAATGCACATTTGGGTAAGAGCAAGAGAGAAAGAAGTGTTAGTAATTAACGAGCACCTTGGTCCAATAGAGTTGTCAATGATGCCATCTTAATTCAGTTATAAAACTATTATAGAGTAATTTAATTATCTTCACCTCACATTATTTTGCTGAAACTAAAGACTCATTTTTTTTTTTTTTTTTTTTTTTTGAACTGCTCCTGCCAGCTACATGGATTTACTGCACTGCTAGTTACCATCTTGTACCCCATAGCAAAGCCAATCGGCTTTTTTTTTTTTGTAATGTTCACATATAGGATGTCTTATTTATCCCCCTCGGTAAATGATAACTAAGAGACCATAAATTCTGATTAATAAACCATGCAGAACGTGTAACAAAAACAACTGTAATAATAAGCTTAATTCTGTATATACATTTGGGCTATTTCCTGAAAACTAAAAATACTTGTATCCAAACCAAATAAAATAATTTTTTATATTTATTACACTGTTTAATTTTTTAAAAAATATACGGCCGCTTTAGTCTTCTTCAAAGCTATTGTCAACCTAAAAAAAGGCACAAAAAATTATCTCTAAATATGTGGAGTTATTCAAGAATAACAAATAAAGATTTATAGTCCAGATAGCATGAAATGGTAAACTACCAGTTCATTCTGTGAGGAGAGGGCAGAGAGAAGTATTTAGTAGCAAAAAGGGTGAGATTTACATAAACTGCTTAGAAACAGAGGTTATTGGTTCTAAAGATTCAAAGCCAGAGTTGTTGCCAGTTCACTGGTAGAGATGCCATGACTGGTCAAGTGCTCTTCTAAGAACATCTCATCAGAATTACTGCAGTCCTAAGGAATATCAAGTCATAAACATTATAAAAGCAGGAGATGACTGAAGACAGTTTCCAGCTGGGAGTTTTCAGAAAGTCCTTAGAAACAGTATTTATTTCAGACACGTAGCATGAGCCTCCTCTCCTTTAGACTTTCCTGGCTCTATTTTGTCTGGGTCTGACAAAAGTGATTTCCTGCTGGTATCAGCAACTTTTACACAGCACATATTAATACATAAGATTTAGAATTCAGCTGGGTGCCGTGGCTCACGGCTGTAATCCCGGCACTTTGGGAGGCCGAGGCGGGCAGATTCCTTCAGGTCAGGAGTTCAAGACCAGCCTGGCCCACATAGTAAAATCCTGTCTCTACTAAAAATACAAAAATTAGGCGGGCATGGTGGCTCGCACCTGTAATTCCAGCTACTTGGGAATCTGAGGCAGGGGAATCGCTTGAAGCTGGAAGGCGGAGGTTGCAGTGAGCCGAGATCCTGCTACTGCACTCCAGCCTAGTGACAGAGCGAGATTCCATCTCAAAAAAAAGAAAAAAGGAAAAAAAAAGATTTAGAATTCATAATAATTTTAAAAGTAAGCGGTCTGAGTATTTACTAGGCAAAATATAAGTACTAATGACTTACTGTATTATTTATTTACTTTTTACTTGGCCCTCACAGAGATAAAAATTATTTAATTACACATATTTTATACATTTAATACCTTAAAATATCAGACCAAAATTTTCTTCTTGGCATAAGTTATGTTTCCTAGTTTCAGAGAAAAATAATTCAGAGACAAAAACGTGCTCTTTACATCTATTTAGATGTTTAGATTTTTAACTTCTACATGCAATTATCTCACTTAATCTTATACTAATAAGGGATTGGGAACAGCAGGAAAAATTGTATGAAACCTTTTTTTTTTTTTTTGAGATGGAGTCTGCTCTGTGGCCCAGGCTGGAGTGCAGTGAGGCAATCTCTGCTCACTGCAACCTTCGCCTTCTGGGTTCAAGCGATTCTCGTGCCTCAGCCTCCCTAGTAGCTGGGATTACCGGTGCCCACCACCACGCCAGGCTGATTTTTGTGTTTTTAGTAGAGACGGGGTTCCACCATGGTGGCTGGGCTGGTCTCCAACTACTGACCTCAGGTGATCTGCCCGCCTTGGCCTCCCAAAATTGTTGGGATTACAGGTGTGAGTCATCTTAGAGTAGGAGTATGTAAAATCACCTTTAAGACATGGAATAGCTTTTTTCTTTTCTTTGACGGAGTTTCACTCTTTTTGCCCAGGCTGGAGTGCAATGGCGCAATCTTGGCTAACTGCCACCTCCGCTTCCCGGGTTCAAGCAATTCTCCTGCTTCAGCCTCCCAAGTAGCTGGGATTACAGGTTCCTGCCACCATGCCCGGCTACTTTTTTGTATTTTTAGTGGAGACGAGGTTTCACCATGTTGGCCAGGATGGTCTCGATCTCTTGACCTCGTGATCCACCCGCCTCGGCCTCCCAAAATGCTGGGATTACAGGTGTGAACCACCGCGCCCGGTCCAAGACATGGAATAGCTTTTAGGCATGTAATATTTGCCCATAAGTTGACTGTGTGAATTAACTTGGTTCAGAGAAAAATAGATTCATCAGAAAAATATTGATAAATTCAGAGAGTGTCACAATGGCCAAATTAGCAGTACCCTTCCATGGAATGTCTAGAAGGAATGGTGGTATATTGGTTCCAGGCCCTAATCTGTCAGATCCTATGTTCATGTATATCCTTATGATGGTATCTATTAGGCTTTCTCATTTAGATGCCATTAATATTTGAATTATATGAGGCAGAAACTTAGGAAATGTTTGTTTTTCTCCCTCTACTTTCCCCCTTCCTTTCCTATCCTCTACTCCCTACATTGTAACATTGTATAAGTAGTAGACTCTGCATTTCCTTTGCCTACATGGAAATTTGTGACAAGAAGAAAAAATCAAGATTTTCTTGCAAGCCATTTCTGTCCTGGTTTTTATATCCCAAATCTGAAGCTCAGTGAAGAAAATTATGCTAAGGATCCTGGAAAGAGAGAAAGATAAGATTTGAGAAGAAAGGGTTGGCCTTGGAGGAGAATAAGAGGAGAGAGTAAAGTCTCTTCTTAGACTAAAAAGATTTTGAGGTGGAATCTGGATGTCTGTGGGTTTCCAGAGCAACAGCATAGTCCTTGGAATCCTGGCACTGCCCTGGTAATGTGGTAGAACCCCAGAGGGAAATCAGGGTCCATATCTAAAGTGCCTGTGCCAGGGTAATATTCAAATAATAGTAGAAATTACTATTAATAAGCAGCAACTGATTCCTATGCTAGGTGTACCTCCTAATTGCTGTGTCACTAGGGAGGCTCATGGTCTCAGGGAAGGAAGACTGAAGGAATGGAACTGAGGTACTGGTTATTTACCAATATTTCACAAAAGGGTTTCACTGGTATGCCTGTACTGGTAAATACTGGATGAATAGCAGCCCTACCTTTGCCACCCATGCCTTTCAAAGAGCAGAGTGGGTACACCTGAAGGGACCTTGTGACCTGGGAAAGTGAGTGTGTTTGTGGTAGGTGGCGTAGACTGGTAACTAGTGTCCAGGGTGACCACCCAGATGTTCAGTGCTCCATAAAAGTTCAGTGTCTCTGCATTCTTCCTGGTAAGGGACAAAATGTCAGCAGCTGAACTTCCTATCCGCTTGGCTGCAAATTAAAATCAATTTGATTTAGAGAAAAATGTAAAGGCTATATTTCATCTGAGTATGTGAATTGGGATCCATAACTGCCACATGTATGGTCATTGGCTCATGTCCAGGTCAGTACTCTGGAATATAATTTGTCTTTTCACATTACAAGCCTTGAGAGAAATAGTGCACAAGCCAGATGCTACAGTCTGCCTCTTTCAGTAATTATAGTTCTCTTTTAAAAATAACAATTTGTGATCTCAATTGTAAGTTACCTTTCATGGCAATGATAGACACTATTATTAAAGAGGGGAGGAAAAGACTGGGGCAAGGGTTGAAAAAGTAACTGCTGGTTACTGTGCTCACTCAGTAGCTGGGTGGCAGGATCAATCGAACTCCAAACCTCAGCATCATGCAATATACCCATGTAATAAACTTTCACGTGTACCCTGAATATACAATAAAAGTTGAAATTATAACAAAATACATACATACGTAAGTTACCTTTCTTTGTGCCATGCCCACAAAGATAAAAATGTCCTGACTATAGATCATGTTTCTTTTACCCTGGTAAGCTACATTGCTCATTGACTTAAATGCACTTTATTCTAATTCTAGCCTTCGGATTCTTAAGTTTGGTGAATCGTAGTTCACCCTAGGAGACAGAGAGTCCTATTGACTCTGTGTTGAAAAGTAAATGTCCGAATGTGCTGAGGTACAGATTCGGTTCATAGAAAACTCACTAAGAAAGTCCTTTCTGGAAAAGTGACTTTGTTGGAGGGAGGAGGGTGTGCTTCATTTGAATTGCTCTAAGGACATACTCTACGGCAGTGCCATGGTAATGTAAATCACTATTCATTTGTGTAACTTAGATACTTAAAAATCTGAGATAAAAATTCAAGCTATTGATGTGAAATACGTACCACAATTAGAAGCCATCTGATTTCGTTGTGAATTCCTATATAACCCAATAGACAAAAAAGAACAGTAGAAGACCCCATTCCAATCAAAATTTGAGAAATAGATACTATGAAGTGATTATTTTCATCTGTGAAAAGAACAAAATTACTTATTATGAAGTGGTATTTTTATATGAAGTGGTATTTTATTTTCTATTTAACAATAATTACAGCAACCAAAAGTTTTTCTGAGCAGCTGTTGCCAGACCACCAGGATTCTCTCTCTATCCCTGTCTCTCTTTCTCTCTTTCTCCGTCCCTCAATTTTTGACCTCATGTACCAGCTCTTACTTTTAGAAACAACCCTTCTTCCTTTTCTGACATGAAGAGAATTTCTTAAATTTCAGATATCTTTACCCTTATCCTCCTTGTCTTTTATGACAGAAGAAAATTTTTTCTAAGATTTCATCTATGTCTAATGTATATTCAAACATTCATGTGTTCATTCATTCATCAAAAATCTTTAGAACCTAATATGTGTGAGTTAGATGTATACACCCTGAATTTATTGCTAATATGAGCCCTTTCAAACTATATTTTAGTTTTTCCCATCTAGACTGTGAGCCCTCAGTGCTAGATATTATATATATTTATCCAGTCAACAGGCTGCCTGTTGAATGCTTGGTGCTGTGGCACAAACAGCAGAACAGTAAATGCTCAACAAATAATTGTTTTAAAAAAGAAGGATGGATAAATGAATTAAATATGTGGGAGGTGTTATGGGAGAACAGTGTAGGCAGTGGTGTGCTGGAGTGAGCTTGTATTGGCTCATAAAAGCCAATTGTGGTATTTTCAGGAAATCTGCAAACCAACTGAATTCACTTTGACACCTTGAAATTGGCCATTGAGGAACTGCTTCTATCATGTCAATCATGCACTATACACATTAAAACATTGTAAACTACAGTATGGTTTAAAAGTATAGTGCTAGTTACAATTAAAACAATGAGAAGAGAAAAGAGAAACCATCTTCCTTCTAAAATCTCCCAGTGTTCTTCTTCTCAGTTTAAGGAGTCACTACAAGTTATATCTTCTACCTATGCATTGAATTCTCACAATTTTTATAGTGATCAGATCAGAGTAATTAGCATATCCATTCATCTCAAATACGTATCATTTTTGTGTGTTGGGAATAATCAATATTCTTCCAGCTATTTGTGACTGTGTAATACATTATTGTTAACTACAGTCATCCTACAGTAGTATAGAACACTAGAACTTTTTTCTTCTATCTAGCGGTGATTTTGTATCCTTTAACAAATCTCTGCAACTGATGAAGACTTTCAGAGGGAATGCTAGACGACACTTGATAAATTCCAGAGAAATACTGCCACCTGCTGAATAAATTGTGTATACAACTGTTTAAAATGGAATGTCTGTTTCACTAAGAGATAAACAAGAATACATACCAAAAGCTGTTAAAAAATTATTTCTATCTAATAAAAGCCATGCACCAAATCCCATGAATAAAAGTCCAAGAACCTAAAAAAAGAAAGTCAATGCTTATTTTTTTTGTAATTGCCTATACAATAGATTACATTTTCTTTACTATGTAATTATGAAGAGCCTTACCATGAAAGCTCCATTAATGAGATTAAGAAAGTACTTAAGAATTATTGTTTTGTTATTTCTTAACATTCTTTTTCTTCCAAGATATTGATGATTCTGAAAAGACAACCATAACTTTTTTATAAACATTCTACACAATAACTTTAAATATTTCGCCCTACTTATGTTCTATATTTGCACATTTTTCTTCTCAAATCAGTTATCAGTATAACATACTCCCATCTCTAAATGAAAGGACATATTGAAGGTATCTTGAAACTGTACATTGTCTGCATTTTTTTTACTAGAGAGTATCTGTACTTAAAATAATAAATATATATCTGCAATGCTTTTTCTAGGCAATCAAGACTAAGAAGACAGTTGTATAACAAGTCAAGCAGCCTTACTGAACTTCTTGCAGTTTCAGAAAGCATAAGATATTTTGTTTTCAGTTTTATTGTATTTTTAAATGTTTATTTTAATCCTAACCATTAGATGGCCAGGAAATTTTCCAGTCTTAATATACCTTGTTCCCCTGGCTGGCAAGTTTTCCTCACTTCTGCATGCCCCTTCTCAGAGTAATATTAGCTTCTCACTGAGGTGTTGGTTTGGGGATCTTTATCTTTTTTTTTTTTTTTTTTTTTTTTTTTTTTTTTTTTTTGAGAGAGGGTCTCGCTCTGTCGCCCAGGCTGGAGTGCAGTGGCCGGATCTCAGCTCACTGCAAGCTCCGCCTCCCGGGTTCACGCCATTCTCCTGCCTCAGCCTCCCGAGTAGCTGGGACTACAGGCGCCCGCCACCTCGCCCGGCTAGTTTTTTGTATTTTTTTTTTAGTAGAGACGGGGTTTCACCGTGTTAGCCAGGACGGTCTTGATCTCCTGACCTCGTGATCCGCCCGTCTCGGCCTCCCAAAGTGCTGGGATTACAGGCTTGAGCCACCGCGCCCGGCCAGGGGATCTTTATCTTAAGCCAATTTGTTGCCTTTCAAATTTCTCATTGACCTGTCTTCTTCCCCACAGAGAGTCAGGGATATTTAAGTGGCGAGAGTATGTCTTATATACCAATATAGCCTCCAGATTTAGCACACAGTAGGTACTTGATATATATTTGTTGAACACATGAATGGATACATGAATTAAATTACTTAATCTATAATTTAATTTAGTATGCAGTATATATATTAAAAAAACTTATATATAAAGTAGCTTTCATTAAAACTTATTTTCCAGATAGCCAATTTTCCTAAAACTTTCATGGAAAAATCAATACTTACTCCACTGGTTTTTGGTGCTGTTTAGTAGAGATGAAAGTTTCAAATCTAATCTTGACTATGTTCCCAGATTTTCTCTTTTCTCTTCTCATTGTTTTAATTCTAACTAGCATTATACTTTTAAACATACTGTAGTTTACAATGTTTTAATATATATAGTGCATGATTGACATAATAGAAGCAGATTTAATAAGATTATTTTAAAGCTATTTGTCTGTCCCTAATTAGGCAGAAACCAATTTGTCGAACTGAAGGATGCTTTGAAAAGTGGAAAAATAAGAGATGTCTACATTAGTCTAGTAGTACCTCCCTACTTTATTATAAACCATCTTCCTCCTAAAATCTCCCGGTGTTCTTCTTCTCTGTTTAAGGAGACACTACAGGTTATATCTTCTACCTATGCTTTGAATTGTCTTGCTGTCATTTGGTTTTTCTACTTTGCATCCTATTGTCTTATTCCTTCATTCCTCTAATGCCTGGCATGTTTTGATGGTACACTCAGTTGGAAAGACTGCCTGATTTTTATTTCAGTTTATTTCAAAGATGCTATAAATCTACATTTTTGGTTCCAATTCTATTGACTGTCACATGTGGAAAGCTCCCTCACAGCCTGAACAAGAAGATAGGCACAAGGTCTTGGCCCCTGTCTGTGAACAAGAAATAGAATGGAGACTAATGAACCAGAAAGCTCTGTAGTAACTCTGATGTGAAATGTTGAAGGCATGGACTTGAGTGTTGATGTGGTAATAGTTAGCATGTTAGGCAGGGTCAAGCTGCAACGCTTTATCAAAGGACCCAAATACAGAAATAAACTTTTATTTATCTCTTAGTTCAAAGTAGGTGATGGGTTCGCTTCTAGGAAATCATTTTAGAAACTTGGAGCTAACTCTGGCCTATTCAACATGTGGCTTCCAAATTGGCCCCAGGTGCCATCTTTTATAGCTCACAGAAAGGAAAGGGGATAAGTAAACTCAGGCAGGCATCTTTTAAGCAAATGAGGTTGAAGTTGTACACTTCTCTTCTGTTTATATTCCATCAGCACAGACTTGGTCCCACAGCAATACTCAACTTCAGTTGAAGGCAACCATGTACCCAGGATAAAGAAAAGAAAATAGATAGGGTGGTGAGGGCCAAACAAAATGCCCACCTGTCAGAAAAGGCCAATTACAAAAGATAATTAGGAAAAAAAGAGAGCTTGGATTAAACTTTAATATGCTTTACTGTGGAAAAGAATCAAAGACAATCAGGAAGATTCCTGTTCATTAGGATGGGAAAATAAAAGAATAATGGTAATCACTAGAAATTTAAAATTTAAAAATTGGGGAAAATGGTTTAGAAGAAAAATTCATAAAATTCAATATTTCATGATAGAATTTGAAGTGGTAAAGGATATCTGCCAGTTATGTCTCATAAGCACTGTGAATGGAGTACAGATAAATGCGTAGCATAGCTGTACAGACTTGAAAGTCATTTATAGAGAACCAATTTCATGGGTGTGAATGAAGAGAAGATACATTGTCTATAGATGGAAATGGGCAGAGGTTTGATGGTAGAGAGTGAAATGATACAATTAAGAATTTGGAATTTTTAAAGCCGACTTTTATAGAAGTCAAAAGGGGTGAGAACTTAGTAAGCTCAAAGGTAGGCAACGTGGTAAGGAAGATGTTTATGGTAATTTCAAAACTGTGGTTCAAGGTTTACCAAGTTAAAACACAACAAACTGTGCATCCAAGCAACGATTCAAAGAAGCCTATGACTATGTTTACAAAGAATGGTAAAATGAGATGGTCATGTGTTGGCTTTTTCAGCCATAAGCTCCACATACTGGAAACAACGTCAATGAGAATAATGATGTGCCAACACAAAGATACACAATAACTTAAGTGTAGTTCTTATTTAAATATTTGTAGTGTGAAAGGTCTATATTTTCTTTTGCTATAAACAAAGAATTTGTTTCTAACCTAATTAAATAAGGTCCAGGTGTGGCATTTATTTTGTTCAGTTCCTGACTAGTTAATTGACGTTGAAAGTTCAACAGCAGAGATGCTATAGGAATGGACAACTTACAATAATTAATCTATTTATAAGTGTTATTTTTTACTAGTTTAATAAACTCTAATTACTTCTTGTTATTGTTTTTATGTTCTAAGTTCCAACAGATGGGAACACACAAATGAACAAGAGAAGGTCAAAGAGTCAAATATTAAAACCTGCGGCTGACCCTGAATTATGTGTTGAGGTGGAAACAGGAAATAAGGAAATAGGAAAGTTTCATAGAGAAGATGATTTTGAGATGACTCTTGAAGGAGGATTAAGGTCTTAGACAAAAAAGGGAGAGAAACAGGAAATATTCAAGACGGGGGGACACTATGTTCACAAACTTTACAATGAGGTGTAAGGAGGCATGGATCAGAGTGGCAAGAGATGAGAGACAAAGCTAAAGAAGTAGACTCAGTAGAGATTGTGACAAATCTTGTATGCTTTACTGAAGATTTTTTTTTTTTTTTCCTGAAGGTAATAGGGAGCCATAATTCTGGGCTCAATGTGGAAGCCAAATTAGAAAAGACACTTAAGATAGGGGTATCATTTATAAAGTTAATGCACTAATTCACAACAGAAAAATGTGGTCTAAACTGCAAAATGGCTGTGGAAATGGAAACAGTATCACAATATGAGAGATGTAGTAGGAAGTAGAATCACCAGCACTGGGATAACCAAAGAATCAAAGATGGAATTTAAGTCTGTAGAAACTATGTAATCAAACTCTGAACAGTATCTCATATTCTACAATGTTTCATTTAAATTGATTCCCTTTATCATCGATATTTTGCAAATGCTATTATCCCCAATATCACCAACGAGGAGAGAAAGAATCAGGAATGCAAAATTACTTGCTAAAGATCGCTCAGTTAATAAATGGCAGAGATGAGATTTAAATCCATAGATATAAACCACCCTCTCAGTAACTTTCCCAAGCCCCAGTGTAATCATCTGTAAATGCAGATTACAATTGTACACGCCTCAAAGGAACGTTGTGAAAATCAGATGAGATTGCCGGGCTTGGTGGCTGGCGCCTGTAATCCCAGCACTTTGGGAGGCCGAGGCGGGAGGGTAACGAGGTAATCGAGACCTTTCTGGCCAACAGGGTGAAACCCAGTCTCTACTAAAAGTATATGGGCATGGTGGCGGGTGCCTGTAGTCCCAGCTACTCGGGGGGCTGAGGCAGGAGAATGGTTTGAACCCAGGGGCCGGAGCTTGCAGTGAGCCGAGATCACGCCACTGCACTCCAGCCTGGCCACAGAGCGAGACTCCGTAAAAAAAAAAAAAAAAAAAAAAAGAAAAAGAAAGAAAGAGAGAGAGAGAGAGAGAGAAAGAAAATTAGATGAGATTATGTTTGTAAAGCACTTAGTCCAGTGCCTGGCTAGATGTTAGTTATCTCATTATATCATATGGTTAGAATCTTGTTATATCATATCTCAGTATAGAAATACTAAGATTATACAAGAGTCATGCATGTGAGGATGGGCAATGGGATGGAAACTGTGGAAAAGTGATAAATTCTCACTCTTCTGTGAAGTGGTGGTCACTGACACCAGCTGGGAGGGAGCACAAAGAGAGTTAGAATCTGAAGGCTTGAGACACACTTTAAGTGGAACAAGATAATGAGAGGTCTAAGAATACAATATGTGGTACTATGAGCTACATAGTAAAGTAGTTTTACTCAATACTCACCATGCCTCAAGAAAATAAAACAAAGAAATACAGGCTATGCAGCTATTTTGAACACAACAATGATATTCTGGGATAAAAATTATATCACTGCCATATGAAGAATAAAGCAGTT